ACATATTGATTGAGCAGGCAGAACTCCATTGTTCCAAACACCATGTATGGCATACAACCAGCAAGTATCCTCCATCCCACACCTATTACCCGGTGACTTCAGATACTCCCAAATCCATTGGCAAGCATTCTATGTGCAGGCCCAAGCCCAGAGGTCTTGGGGTTTGGATGCCCCAGTTACTACAGGCAGGCATCCTCCATCCCAGACTAAAGGGACTCCCTACACTTGATCTTAGCTCACAAGAGGCTAAGAAGTAAGGGAAGGGAGGGCCAGGGAGAAGAAGCCTGAATAGAGGTCCAGAGAGGAGATGTTACAGGGTACCGGGGGTAGCTCCATACTGAGGCCCAGCAGGTTTTAGAACTGTCCAGCTAGCTCCTAAATCCACTCAGGGAAGCGGGTGATTGTCAGCACTGTTACCTTTATTCTGGCAGCCCGGGGGCCACATGGGACTGGGCCCCCATGAACAGAGAGCAAGAGTTGTCCCCCACACCTGAGCTTCCTGCCCTGCCCCATCAAACACAGACCACATGTGGGAGGCAGGACGGCAGGAGGAGCCTACACCAGTGGAAGCGCGGTCATGACCCAGCAAGGACCTAGCCATGAACCAGATAGTGGGCCCTGCATCCCAGCCCCAGCCTGATTTCACAGCCCAGCCCAGCTATGGGAACCATCCATGGCATTTCATGGGTGAGGGCAGAGATGCAGTGCTGGTGACATTGCCTATGTCTTCAGCTGCCTCCTCCCTCCTCAGCTCTTGGAGGCTTTGGAGGACTTTGACCTAGAAGATAAGGGAAATGAGTCTGTGATTTGCCATCAGGGGCATGCAGGTTGAGTCGCCAGACAGGATTTGAGCCGCTGGGCTTCATCATGAGCCGGTGTAATGGGGTCTGCTCCAGGGGGTGACTGTTACTCCTTGGAGCCCCTTAAGCCTTATCCATCTCATCTTTGGGAAGTCCCCCATCCCTCGCCCACTGCACCTGGATGTCTTGGCTTCTAGATAAGGGGAGGCTGCCCCAGGGCTTCCCCAGCTTGACCTTGCACTTGTAAGCACAGGGGTCTGTGGCCTTAGGAGGCAATTATGTGACTCCGACCATGCCAATGCCTCACAGATGATACTCCTTCCTATTGTCCCACTCCCATCCTGGGCTATGTACTCCCAGCCCCAGTCCTTGCCTCTCTTGCACTATGGGCTCCTTGGTCCCATTGGTCCCCAGCTGTGACCTCTCTTTGGGCCCTGCCCCTGTTCCTAGGGCAGTTGAGACTCCTAGGATCCTCTGGCCCCACCAGTCTCTGGCTGTGGCCCTCCTCAGCCTTTGGCCCTTTCTTCAGGATCATGGGCCCATGAGATCTTCATATTCCCTGGCCCGGTTCACACTCACCCTTTCTGGGCTCCTGACCTCTGGGCTCTCTAATCCTGCTAACACATGCCCCTCTGTAGGCTCTGAGCCCTCTGGCCTCACTTTCTGCTCCTTGCCCAGGCTTGTCCTTACTCCCAGGTCTTGCTTACACTCGCTCTCCTCTAGGCACTTCCATCTCTACCTTTGATGGGCTTCAAGCCCAGGCCCTTTCTACTCAGCCCCTCCTGGGCTCAGGCTCTCCCCCTCCAAGCCCCAGACCCTCTGTTCCTTTGACTCCTCTTTCTCTCTCTGGGCCAGCTGAGACTTTCTGGCCTCCAATTGGTCCCTGCACAAACCATCAGTGCTTGCCCCAGCCCAGATGCTGTGGCAGGAGCCTGGCTGTGGCCCTGCTGCTAAGGGCCTCTTCTCCCTGCAGCTCTCAGGGTTAGACTTGCCTGACCAGGTCAGGGCCTAGGCTTATATGTCTTAAGCCCCACCCTTTCTGGTCATGTGATTCCCTAATTGGGCCCTTCCACATGTGCAGCACACTTTTAGAGCAGCCCCTTCTCTTAAAGTGATAGGTGCACTAAGCACCCATCACAGCTAGGCAGGGCTACAGTCTGCACCCACCTACGGGGATATGGGGGGCATGCAGGGGCCAGGCTGAATCCTGTTCCTTGGGATGTGGGGTCTCCAGTGGGGAGACAAGATCAGAGCTGGAGGAATCACAACCCACCAGCTTCTGATCCCCCTGCTCAGTCCAGCCCGGCTGGGTGCTGGGAGACTGGGTGCACAGTGCAGTCTTAGTAACGGGACTAACAATGGTGTAACTGTAAAGGTGTGATGGGTTTTGGTCTGTCAAGTGAACCACAAGGGTCATAAGACCTGTTTTTAGGGCACAGTTTTATATACTGGTAGTCTGGTGTGATTCAAGATTCAAAAATCAGTTTGGGAGCCTAGGGAGATCTGGGTTGGGTGCTCCCCTCAACCTGGGTGCTCCCCCCACCCCCAGGGTGGTAGAAGTGCCACTGAGTGAGGAGGGTGGGGGCAGCCGGCAGTGCGGTCCCACCTGAGGGGGCCTACTGAAGTCTTGGTGAGTGGCCGGGTGCCTGTGCAGAGTCAGAGGGTTGAGCAAGAGAGAGCAGCCCCTGGAACGAGCCCTTGGAGCTTGTGACCCAACTTCACAAACCTCTTTGGGTGGGGATGTAGCCCCAGGGAGCCCCA